CTTTGTGGTGACACATTTGCCTTTTTCGCGGATTGCGTCGGAGGCGTTTGTTGCCGTTTACGTTTAACTTCACAAATTGGTAAACCAGGTGGACACTTTCTCTTAACAGCACCTACAGGAACTACAGGTGGATCATTTGGAAAAGTATAGACGTCCATCTTTACAGGACTATTGTTGACATTGACATTAGGATTAACGTTAATATTTCTAGTTGTATTTATACCAATAATGCGTGTCTCAGCATCGATAAATGGTTTATTAATATTAGATTTCATATTATGAGATGGATTCGTTACTATGTTATTATTAGATTTTTTATCGTTTATTAAATTTCCAAATACGGGATTACCATTCTCCGTATTGGTTTTTTCAGTCGTTCCTTCGATTTCCATACCATTTGTTTTAACGTTATTATGTTCTTTCTTATTAACGATAGAATTCGTTTGTGCTGTATTTTCATTAATTAGATTTGCGTTTCCGGTGATCATCTTAGGGCTTTTATCGATAAGTATATTCTCAATCGTTGGTTCTTTGGCCGCCAATTGAAATCCTTGAAGGAACTGTTTTTTCCGATCGTTTTGCTCGGTCGTCTTTTTTATTATAGTTTTCGATACATTAAACATAGGCTTTACCGTAGTTGGTTTGTCCATAAAAGTAACTCTGCGTTTCTGTTTCTCCTGTTTCTCCATCGTTTGAAATTTGTCCTTATCTTTTTGAAGATGCTGGAATAGCAATCCGCCAGATGGTTCCCTTTCAACCTGTCCACAGTGTAACAAAACATTACTAATTACTTTTGGTTTCTTTAAATTTGTATTAGCAGCTGAACATTGTTTTAGAGTTATTTTCACTCCGTTGGAATTTTGTCCATCCCCAATACTTACAACACTGAATTCAGGGCTCGTGGGTTTGACGTCGCAAGAATTTGGATTTTGTTCTCTGGAATGCCAATTAGGGGGCGGATTCTTCAACACCTCGTAATTCCCATCCGAATTTTTCAATATTTTTATCGGCGTTTTGACTTGCTTACTCCCCTCCTCGTTAACCGTAGATGTTATCATCGTGTTAGTTGCGGTGGTCGTACTCGTGGACATTGTATTCACTGTTGTTGAAGTCAGTATCGTCGTAGTAGTAGTTGTAGTCGTAGTCATAGCCGTAGTCGTAATCATGGTCGTAGCTGTAGCCGTATCCGTAGCCGTGGTTATAGCAGTAGCCGTAGTAGTTGTAGCCGTGGTTATAGCAGTAGCCGTAGTAGTTGTAGCCAAAGTTGTAGATGCAACCGTAGCTATAGCAACAGCTGGAGATACAGTCGTAGCAGTTGCCGTTGCAGTGACAGATGTTGCCGTGATGGTAGATGCAGTCACAGAAAGTGTGATCGCTGTCGAACACACAGTAGTAGTAGTACCTATCGTCGACGTCACCGTCGTAATAGAAGGCAAGGTCATCGGTAATGTTCTAGCGTCCGTCGAAGATGGCACATCCATTTTCTTATCATCCTTTTCGGCCACTTTCGATATTTTTAGACGACTGCAAAGGACCACTGGCATTTGTAACTTCACCTTGGACGATTCAACTTCATTTTTCTCTACGACATCGTCCTTGTCATCCTCCATCGTTTTACGTTCGATCTCGAGTATTTGTTCCGCATCATCATCCCGCACATTGTCGCTGACCGAATTGTCGCTCGGTGGCAAACTAGCACCTAATCCAGGCGTGGATGGTCTCTCGTGTAAAGGTGCTTCCAAGGCTTGTTCTTCTTGAGCAACCCGATAAAAGAATCTCATAGGAGCGTTCTGTAAAATAATGTAATCGCAACTTTTATCTTATTCGTACGTCAACGTAAAATTCCGTTCAATAAATCATTTCGTTTTCGGCAAAGGAATTTTTTAAAACCGGTCAATTCATCTTTCAAATAAACTACACCCTTCTGTTAAAGTGATTACCAAATACTCGGACAGGAGACGGTAGAAAATTTACCTGAACGGTTTTACCTGAAAGATGGATCGACGCGAGTCCCATAGTAAAATGGTTTCTTTCATTTTCATTCAAACGAAAAACTTTAAAGAATATAAATTATAGAGGAAAGTAAAAATATGTTAAGGTAGAAAAAAATCTTTACCCTTTTCCAAGCGTATATGTAGGCTACGTCCATAAGTGTCCAATGTTCTGGTAGGGGTGCTCTTCGATGACATATTTCGATAGTGTATCTCGTCATATCGACGCTGTATTTCAAAGCTAAGAACTTTTTAAGATGCGCTATCGTAACCAGAGCGGGACATTGAAGATACCGTCTATTGCTCGTAATGTGGCTACTAGCATTATTACTATTACTACTATTATTGTTATTATTGCTATTGTTGTTGCCACTATTGTTGTTGCTGTTGTTATTGTTATTGTTGATGCTGTTGTTGTTGTTGTTGCTAGTACTACTATTGTTGTTGTTGTTGTTGTTATTATTATTGTTGTTGTTGACAGTGTTGCTATTACTAATATTGTTGTTATTGTTACTATTGTTATTGTTAGACGAATGGTCAGATTCGTTTGTACTCAACAAGATCTTCAATGGATCGGCACCAGGTGGAAGGTACTCGAGACTCAAGCTGACTGCGTCTTCAGGCGCAAAGATTAATCGACCGCTCACATCTTCCCCTCGTTGCTCCGGAGTCGCGACATCTGCTGTTTAAAAGGAAGACGATTGACATTCAACGCATCTAGGCTGAAAAATTTTTTCCCAAAAAAATTTTCATTGATAAAAGAAAAACATAAACTTACCATGCTCGGGATGTCTTCTATAAAATTCTCTTCTTCTGCGCATCTCCTTATGATAAAGTCCAGGAACTAGTTTGTACACGATATCTTGTAAAGCTTTGTCAGCTCTATAACAATCGTAACAAAGGTGGATTTTGATTTTACAAGTTTCTATAATTATAATAATTTTTTGTAAATATTAGATCAAAAATATTGTTAACGTACTTGATGTTTGGTTTAGCCTTATTCAACACATGATTGCAAGAGGGACAGCGTGCCTCCGCATTAAGATGTTTTAGAATACAGCTTCTGCAAACTGTACAGAAACGAAAAGTAAGATGAATATGTGGGATCATTGATAATTAATCCTCAATAACGTCATATAACTTCGAAGTAAAAGTATTTTTTATTTCTATATTTTTGAAGTTTTATATATTATTTCGTCGCAACGAACTTTATTCGATTGTTAATTTATTTAAGAAATTTTGTAATCTTTATCTTTTTATTTTTTTTTTGTTTTTATTTATTTGGTTTCTTTTTTTCTTTTTTTTTACTTTTTTTTTACTTTTTTTTTTATATTTTTATTTTTAAATATAAGCAATATCGCAATCTTCACGTCGTATATTATTTTATTTTATAAAAGACAAGAAATTCGTAGTTTATAGATTTAAACACTTATAGATTTTTTTTCATACTTATTATTGTACTTACAAGAATGCAAGCACTCAACGACCGTCGTCGCATCTATCAAATATCCTCTGCATAGAGGACAGATGAGATAGGGATTCACATCCCGCAAGTAAGTTCTTTTTCCAACCCCTGCCATGTTTTTCTTAGGGTCTCTCTTCGACCGTTTGCGACGGGGAAACTGTAATAGACAAAGTATTTCATTTTAACGCGACGAAGAAACGTCGTACGTTATAAGTTCAATGATTAATGATGAAAATCATTGGAATATCGGACGATAAGATAAGAAAAGATTGAGGTTCCGCGAGAAAATTACGTGAATAAAAGATAAAGAAAAAGAAAAAGAAAAAGTAAGAGAAAAACAGAGAATGACGATAGACCGATGGCCATTCGTTTCGACGGCCGTGTGATGGTCTATCGTGGCCGATACGGTTCGCAAAGAGAGGTCTAATCGCGCGACATGCGAACGGTTGCACCGGTTGTCCCGTGTCACATACACACACATACACACGGCGCTTATAACCCACTTTCCCGAAGGTTTCTCAGGTAGCTAGAATCCCGTTGGTTGCGTCCCGCTCGTCGCCGCGGACCCGCCATTCTCGCGTTGAGAGAACGACAAAGAGAAAAAGAGAAAGAGAAAGAGAGAAAGAAAGATAGGGAAAGAGAAACAGAACAAAAATGAAAAAGGGCGAGTGTGTGTGTATGTGTAAGCGAAAGAGAGAGAGAGAGAGAGAGAGAAAGAGGGACAAAATGTAAGTATGGGCATGGGACGAGTTAGGCGACGACTTGTACGATGATTTGTTCGATGACCTATCCCCCTTGGATCTTCCTGACGGGTCTGCGATATCAAAAAAAATACCTCTTCTCTTTTTCTATTTTTTATCCTCCCGTTCGTAGAGTTCTCGCTTGATGTATCCCCCACCCTAAACCCACCCTACCGCCACCGGCACCGAGCACCGGGGCAGGGCCATCGAACGTCCCTCTCGTATGCGTATTTATGAGCGTGCATACCGACGAATACCTTGCCTGTTATTGATCGAATATCGTGCTATTTTACGTGGCCGCGATAAGTCGAGGACCCCTTTTCAATTTGGAATAACGAACGAGATTCTTATCCAATTACTAACAGAAATAATAGCGCGACTTTTGTTTTTCTTCTTCAGCACTTTCTCTCTGCTTCCATTTCTTCATTCATTTCCATATTTTTTCTTTTTCCTTCCTTTTCTTTTTTTTCTTCTTCTTCCTTTTTCTTTTTCTCTCTTCTAACAGGATCAACATGGCCGTTACCGTTTCACCGATAATAACTCATGTTTTAACAAATAACGAGCATTCGAAAATGCAGATCAATTGTCGAGTGAATTTTGATTGGTTTCGCCGAGTTAGTTAGGTACGTTTCGTTATATTTTTGCGAGGCATTTCCCTGATCGATCTGAATTCTAAAGCATATATATATATATATATATATATGCATCTATATATACATACATATGTACATATGTATGTATAACCATCGTGATGGACGTGGTGTCGCGTTTGTGTTTTTCAACTCATTTGATCGTACGTTAAAA